TCAAGTGATCGTTCGTACGATGAAAGTGCTTTCGAGTACTCGCCCATCCTGTTATACGTATTACCGATGTTGTTGTAGGCAGTGGCGAAGTCGAGCTGACTCGGAGGGCTCATTTTCTTGTAGATATCGATTGCTCTTTCGTAAAATGTTATTGCTTTCGAGTAGTCTCCTATGTCGTGACACACGACGCCAAGCATAAGATTGTAATACGCTCGATCCTGATCAGAAGATGCCCTTGCAAGAAGGATCTGATAGAGATGTTCTGCTTTTGCAGGCTCACCCAAAGCAATAAGAATAGAACCCAGTTCAGCCCAATCTGTTGCCCAGCTATGCTCTTCCCGTAAATGTGCTGTAAGCTTGCTAAAATCATCGTCTTGATTACCAGCAAGGGTGAGATTGACTTGCCAGAGACGATCTGTATGCTTGTCTTCAATATGTTCTATACGATCGATGCGAAAAATTGTATGTGTCGAAAAAAGAATTTCTTCTTCTTTATCGTCGAAGAAGCCAACATCTTTCACGTTGACGAAAGGTGTCGATGAAGTTGTGCAAATGGCCGTATCGATGTTCATAATGAAGAGGATGCCAACTGAATTTGCATCGAATGCTGCCGGTCGTGCAAAGGTTTCGAAAGAAATCTCACGATTAAGACTTGTCGATAAGAAATTGTTAAACGACATAAGTCCACCTTTGGTTTTCTTCATTTTTTCAAAGACTTCCATGGATAAGCCTTGACCACGAAAAACTTGAAATTTCGATGGCATGGCTGCTTTGCTACTTTGCTGTTGTTCGTGATGTAGTTTTGTAATATGAAATTGTTCGCAAAGTATATCATTCATTTTTTTTCTAACATAGAAGTTCAAGCGGAAGGGTTTCGCGAACAATATCGTCCATCGAAAAAAAAGTGTTCGAAGTTTTTGAGTTGAATGGACCCTATCTCATGTTTCTCTCATAAGTAAGATATCGATAATTTATATGGCTAATTAGTGAGTCATTTGATCGCTCGTATTTCTCAAGGCGATTCATGTAACAAAATCCAACCAGCCATCTGATAGAGATTTCGATACGTCGATTTAAGGTTGCCGTGGGCATTGAAATTTCAAATGGATCCCTCGGATTCTCACTTTCCGATAAGTCGATGGCTCGCCGATAGGTCAGTAAAATACGGAGGGTGTGGGTGTGGGGTGTGGGTGTGGGTGTGGGTGTGGGTGTGGGTGTGGGTGTGGGTGTGGGTGTGG